ACCAATCTTTGTTTTAATACTAATCAAGAGTTTTGCAAAGATATTCTTCATGATTTTGACATCATAGGCGTAGAGGAAGTGAGCCTATAAGTATGATTTATCTTCTTTAATAGACTGTAGAAAAGGACAATTTTTAATTGTATGACTAAATTTCCTACATTTAAGATGAAGAGTACCTCACCTACAATTTTTTGCAAGGTGACCTTTATTCAATCATTTGAAATAGGCAAGAGCAACCCTTAAACTAGGAAAAGCCTTGTGAAAGTAGTCTTAAGGCTAGAAGTCTCAATCCTTGGGGAATTCTTGACTATTTTAGCATATAATCATCCAACAGGAAAACCGGCTCTCTTGTCTCTCAATCTTCTACCTTCATTACTCTGTTGGCCGTAGGAAGTATTGTCTTTGGCAAAGTTATGCCACGTATGGGCTCTATTGTCTCTTAGAAACAAAAGGGAAACAATTAATTTATCCTTATTTGCGAGTTCCATTTCAAGTATCATTGATGCTATAGGCTTTGGTGCACATGTTCTATTTGCTAAAGTATGTGGAATATGTTAAAAATGTAGCTTACAGAATTGAGGCTAGTGTTTTAAAGTGAGAGGTACTGCATGAAGTGAAAATCAAATCGATCTTAAGGTAAAATTCATAAAAATAGGAGTAAATTGACTATTGTGCATGAATTAGAATGTTGGTAATGTGGAGGTCAAAGTTTATGATCACTGGAAACGCATGCTTCTTGTATTAGCCTCTTATTTTATATTTGAGTAATGATGAAGTGAAGATTTTTGTATGTTTGAAATTTCTATGTTTAAAAGTTTCAATTCTATCTATTGCCATCCCATTTAGATGGGTATAAGGCATTCAATTGTCATACTTGGGCATGAATACAATTTGTTCCATTGCATGTTAGAAAAATATTGTTTTATACACTAAAAAATCAGTCTTTGTCTTGTCCTTTCAGGCGAAACTAAAGGTATGTTCTTATTAATGTATTTTATGATGTGGTCATTGTCAAGTACAATAGAAAACATCATTTGTTCTTTTGCTGAATGGCAAACTGTCATGAACTGTACAGTATAAGCTATGCTCTGGTCATTGTGCAATATGCTACGTAGAGTGTATGGTAAATTTTTGTTGGTCTTTGGTTGTGGAAAAACAGCTTTTTGGGTCTTTATTTTTAGATTTGTTTAGTCTTTAGTTATTCTTCAACAAATTTTAACCTATTATAAATAAGTGGCCTTTCTATGTATTGGAATAATAAATTGTAGATTAATAATGGAATGCAAAATACTTTGCTTTTTTTAAAGTGTGAATCTTGAAGGGAAACTGGTGGAATTTCACATCATCGATCATGTTCTTATTGTTTATTTTCTACATCTTGTCATCTTCGCTGTTGCCAGGTCCCAAATCTTGAATGAGAAATGTGGAGGGTTGCATTAAATAGCCATCGTAAAACTTGTCGAATAATCATGACTTGAATCGTTTAATACATTGTGTTGATGTCTATCTTCCCTTTTCTTTGTACATCTACTTTTTGGTTATAATTGAGTGGTTGAATTCAATCATATTTGTTGCATTTTGAAAATTTCCAAACTTAAAAATGTTATAATCAATGTACTTTTCACATAATAAATCTCTTTTTATGGGATATTTTTCATAATTTTTTTTTGTTTTGAGAAATCCTTTACTTACTATATACAATTTTGATCCTTTATACTTTTATGAGCAACAACAACAACAACATCAAGCCTTTGTCCCACTACGTGGGGTCGGCTACATGAATCCTTTTCGCCATTGTGTCTGGTTAAAAGTTAAATTCTCATTTAAATCTAATAAAGAAAGATCATTTCTAATATTTTCTAACCAAGTCTTTTTAAGTCTACCTCTACCTTTCTTAACATAAGTCAAATCTAATACCTCAACTTTCTTAATTGGGTCATCGGAAGGCCTCAGTTTAATGTGAACAAACCATCTAAGTCGACTCTCTATAATCTTATCTTCCACTTGAGCTACTCCAACCTTTTCACGTATATGCTTATTTCGTATCCTATCTCTAAGGGTCAAGCCACTCATCCACCTAAGTATCCTCATCTCTGCAACACTTAACTTAGTATTATGCTTCTCTTTTAATGGCCAATATTCGGCACCATAAAGCATTGCAGGTCTTAACACAATCTTATAGAATTTTTCCTTAAGTTTGAGGGGTACTTTTCTATCGCACAATAAGCCCAATGCATTCCTCCACTTCAATCATCCAACTTGAATTCTGCTCATAATATCCCCATCTATTTCACAATCACTCTGAACAATAGATCCAAGATATCTAAAATGTGTACTCTTATTAATGACTTGATCGCTCAAAGTCACAATCTCTTCACTAGGTCTATTGCTACTAAAATTACACTCCATATATTCAGTTTTAGACCACTTAAGGGAAAATCATTTAGAAGTTACCACAAGAAATTATTTATTCTGGTAACTTCTAAATGATTATTCAATCCAACCATGTGATTGAGACTCGTCATGAAGAATACTCAAAATTTTATTTTGAAATGCATTGTATTTAGGTGTTGTTCTTTGACTTATGTTGTATTACATCACTTTTCACATTAGAACTCCATAGTTCAGCATTAGTTAGCATGCAATGCTTATCCATAGAGATTTTTTTTTTTTGCTTGATAGGTCTCATAGATTCATCCTCTTTGTGCAACTTATTAGGAAGGTGTTGCTCATCATAGGCTTGCTTCAACATTGGCATGCTTAAATTTCAATTTCATATAGAAACTTCAACAAGTATATGAAAAAACATCGATATTTGAGAGTTCCAATTTGCAGTATTTAAGGGTTCTTATAGTTGGGCAATAAAAAATAAGTTACAACCTCTTAGTTGTGGAAAAAATGAAAATTTCAAGATGGATGTATTATATAATTGATTTAGATATAGTGCAAAATATTTTGAGGGGTAACACCTATATTGTACAAAATATATTAAGTTTGCTTGATAATGTAGGAAGGAGAGAAAAAGACGCGCTCATATAGCAAGGAGATGAACTATTTTGAAGGCATGGGATGTGAATGGAGTTGTGCAAGTTAAGTTGATTTATATTTTTCTATTTACTTGAGTTAATGATAGATCGGTTCAGCTTGAACCAGCCCAAGGGCCGGCTCGAGTATACAGGAGGCGGACAAATGCCGCCTCCTTTGAGCTGGCCGCCCACATGGGTGGGCGCCATTTGGCTTAGGGTTTTCAAATTTGAATTTGAAGGGGGGGGGGACTTTGGAGGGAGTTTGGATGAGTAAAGTTTTGTATTAATGAAAATGAGGGGGGCTAGGGTTAGTTTTATGCTTGAATATTATTTTCTCTTGAGTTCTTGGGTGTTTGGCTCTAGATTGCTTTTCTAGAGATTTGGGAGAGAACGATCCTTCTCTTGAATTGAGGATCACTTGTATCTTGCTTTGTCTTTGTTTGGCTTGATTCTCTTATTGCAATCCATCATTTGGGGGCTGTTTTTCGCCCGGATTTTGCATTATTCTCGTTGTTTTCACCAATCAGTGATAGGTTTGCTTGCAAACTTAAGTATTTCCCTTGGGGATTCTTGCGAACTCAAGTATTTCCTATCAGTTAACTTGGATAGGTGTTATGAAAAAAGATTTAAACAAGGTTTCAAAACCACATGCAACATTTCATAATACGAAAGAGAGAAAAGGGATTCATGAGCCACTCTCAACTAGGTATATGGATTATGATGATGGTGATGATCACGTTTGTGCAGGTATTTGTTCATTGAAATTGGAGAACTATCTGCTATGTTTAGTTGAAATGGCCTTGTGCTGTCAGTGTTGTAGCTGCTCTGCTATTGCTTTCTTCTACTATCGATTCCTATACCAACTCAAGCCGCATATGCGACCTCTCTGACTGCTCTTCCTCCTGTTTGTATCCTGTATTCCAGTTTTATTCTCATCTCTGCCACTGTTTGTGTCATCACCCAATTGGGTCAACAAACTTCACCAACAAATATTAGCTTATTGGTTCATTTAGTAGCTATTATTGAGCCACAAACTGTTGGTACAGTATGATTCTTCCAATGTGAGCATTCTGTTCCAAGTATTTCTAATACTGAAATATTATATCATTGATGTATATTTTTCTTTTTTTATTGGTAATACAGTTTACGATTCATCCTATTTCCTTGTGTGTTATTGATACGGCAGGAGCTGGTCGACCGGTCCAACAAGAGAGGGCGGACCAGCAGGAGGGGACTGGAACTGCTATTTTGGCTCCCCTTTTGCGGCCTAGGAACATTAAATTCTATTATGAGAGAAAGAGGAATGAGGAGGGAATTAGGGAAGGAAATATTTAGAATTTGAAATTTAATTAGGGGAGGGAAATTAATTATGGCTGGATGGCTGTTTGGAGGGAGATTTAGGGGGAGTTTAATTAAGATTATGTAGGTTGTTTTTAAGGCATGACGTGATTTGATTTCTATTGTAGTTTTCTTTCTTTGAGGGCTTCCTAGCGGCGTCTAGGTTGAGTGGGAGAGACGATCTACCTTTCTAATTGTAGATTATTGTATCTTGCTTTGATATTGAAGAATTAATACAAGAACATCCATCGATTCTCAATTTCCTGCAGTTTTTATTGTTGTTTCTCGCTGATTTCACATTCAAGGCGTATCAGTTATGTTGATAGCTGTGGTTATAATTTGGAGAAGTGAATATATAATATCATATATTAATATATCCCGTTGATTATTTTCTGATTTAGAATCTAAGCCAACACTTATTGTTTCTCTTAAAATAATTTTGATGTTTATCTTGATTTTCCATTTCGTAAATGGTTATTATGTAATGCTAAACATATTATGGGTGCTTTTCTTTGTAATTGAATTGGTTTAAACCTTAATTGTTTCCTCTGTTACTCACTTTCTATGTGTTGTTTATGACATTTTTGTTGATCGTTCTATTAAATACTGCTTACTTATTCAGCTTTATATTCACAGGGAAAGTACAAGGTATACAATCTTTGTTCAGAGAGGCTCTATGATGCATCACTACTTGAGGGCAAGGTAACATTCCAGATGTCTAAGCAAATTGCTAAACTTGATTTTTTTTTTTCTTGGAAGCAGTTGCATTGTTTGGGTGGCTCATTTTTTGTAGCATATTAATGATATTTAAAATTTTGTAATTCATTAATGTGGACGAAGGATCTCCTGCTTTTATCTAGCTGAATTTAAAACATTTTCTTTTCATTGTTTACTCATTAGGTCTTTGTTTATTATTTTAAAACTGTTTGTGCTGTGCATTTTTTCATCGAGCATTGGAGGGATTTTTTTTTTCTGACGAGCATACAGAAACCATGAGAGTAGAGAGGGAATAGATAACAAATTTCAATTGTTTCATATGTTTATTGAGAGCAAACAACCTGCAGATTGGTTGGCATCCATTGATATATGGAGGTCATTGCTCTTCCTTGATGAGCATGAGATGCAGCCTAAGTTGCATGATTTGAATGGTTTCTGTATGCTATTCTTCAATGATTGTGCTTTCCCGGTATCTTGCATATCTGCATCATTTTCTTACTTCATTGGTCACCAACACTAAGAATCCATACTATGCATTTGATCTCCTTGATTTAATAATAAGGTGAAATCCCAAATGATCCCGGACTATTTTTGGTGATCAACTTAATTCTAGAGTATACAATTCTTTAATTTAGTTCTTCGATTATACAAAATCAATTCAAAATAGTTTCTCAAGGATTAAATTAGGATCACTTTTCTGTCACAAATTCTACAAAAGGGTTCATTTTGGATCAATTTTATATAAATGAGAGACTTAAATTGAAGAGATATGATACTATGATACTAAATTGGCCACGTACAAATAGTTGGGGGATTACTTAAGAATTTAATGTATTAGGTAAAATATTCCCTTCATCCATCTTTTGACATTGTATTCAAATGATAACTGCACTTTTAGTTGTTTTCTTAGATGGAAATGTTCTGTAATCATTCTTAGCTTCTTTTCTGGATAAGTCGGGTATCGTGGAGTTCATTTGTTTTTCTGTCTGCATATTTTGATTTTACGGCAAGCCCCAATATGAGACTTATGTTTTACAATTTGAAGCTTGAAATTTAATAGTATTTTTTCTGATTTATTATATTCTATTGATAAATGGTACAATAAGACCTCCTTTCTTGGCAGCCTTTGGTTATTCGATTGCATGTGGTAAGAAGGATAGTTTTTTGATGCTCATTTGGGGTGTAAAATATAACGATGAGTATATGTGTGTGTGCATATATATATATATATTGTATAGCTTGTTTTATTTTTGAGGATTATGTACTGGAATTTGCATTATTGCTGTCTATATTAGCCTTATTTTAAAATTCTGCTAGAAATTCTGTATATTTCATAGTTATAGAATCTGCTAAAATGTTGTGTTCCGTGGATTTGACATGTTTTCCATGTCCCAGGTTGCTTGTTTCCCATTTGATGATCATAATTGCCCGCCAATTGAGCTTGTGACATTGTTTTGTCAAAGTGCCTATAATTGGTTGAAGGAAGACATTGAAAATGTTGTTGTTGTACACTGCAAAGCTGGTATGGCAAGAACGGGTTTGATGATATCTAGCCTTCTTTTATATCTAAAGGTAAAATAATGCCTCACACAGTGATTACAGGATGTTGTGTCCTTATTTTGTGCATCAATTATTAATCTATCTTGCAGTTCTTTCCAACTGCTGAGGAATCAATCGAGTATTACAACCAGAAAAGATGCATAGATGGGAAGGGTCTTGTTCTCCCAAGTCAGATTGTTAGTCTATACATTTATGTCCAAGTTCTAGGTTTCTCGGAGTACTTTTCAGCAAATTTCTAATTTTTTATTCTTTACAGAGATATGTCAAGTATTTTGAGCGCACATTAACATATTTTAATGGAGAAAATCAACCAGGCCGCAGGTAATTAATGTTTTAAGTTTCTTTTTTCTTTGTTGGGTTCTTTTACCATTTGTTTTGGGAAAATGTTATCTATTTACAAATGACTTGTTTTCCAGGTGCATGCTAAGGGGTTTTCGGTTACATAGATGCCCTTATTGGATAAGACCTTCAATTACTATCTCTAATCATAATGGTATTTTCAATATTTTGGTGTTTTATAATTAAAACTTTTTCATTTTCTGAGCATTTAGTAAGCTAGTTTTTTCCATTATTACAGAATCAGATGTAAAAGGGCACATATTCTATATTATAGCGCATTTTAACTGGTAGATTATTCAGTTAATTAATCTGGGAGATTTGAAAATTTTATGGCTGACACACTTTTGTGTCTGCAATAGCTGTAATGATGATGGCGTTAATTTTTATTTGCATCATATTTTTGGGCATGTATAAAAATATGTTATTAGTCAATGATATATTGCAGTGGACACCAAGAGTTAATTAATCCCATGCTGTGTGACTTTTTATTCCTAATTAGTAATATTCTTTGAATTACCTCAATATTTTAAGCCTAGCCGTTAATGTTCTTATACAACAACTAAAATTTACTTTTAGGTTCATTTGATTGCTGGGTGTTGGAAAACACGGTTTTAAAAATGGTTAAATTTGATTTCGAACTCCACAAGCCTCTTCAAAATTTTCTCAAATGTAATTATTTTATTTCTACGCACAAAATGAGTAAAAAAAAAATCATCATTTTTCAAAATATTTTCTATGCGCAAACATTCAAATGAGCCGTTATATGCTTATTATTTAAAACTGTTTGGTCATTATGCCAACTTCATTTGGCTGACCTAGAGGATGCAATTTTTTTGTAGGAAATTATCTGATTTTTTGCAGTAATCTGATTATTTAAACAGTATTAAATCACCATAGTTAGCAACAGTGAAGACAAAGTTCTTTAAATTGTCAGCTTAAGTTATGATATTCAGTGCTTGATTGTACTGGAATGCTTATGTGGAAATCCTTGGGCTTAGAGAGTTGTTAAACGTGAGGCTATCTTTTAGTCTTGAAGTAACCAAGCATCAATATTTAGCGATCACTTTTAACCTGACCTATCCCTTGCCAATTGAGGTTTACTAAAGCACATTTGATTATCACTCAACAACTGATGAAAAGTTTGAAATTCTGCATGCTGATGCTTAAGTTGTTTTAAATAGTGATCTGTTTATGTATATGTCTTTTTTTTTTTCTTTCGGGGAGGCTGTAATGCTTATCTTAGTTTATCCCCGAGTGTATATGCATGAGTAAATTACCCCTAGGTCTCTGCAGTTAAAGGGTCACTGCACAGTGGTCCACATTTTTAAAAACTCTACAATTGGGTCTTTAGGACTTCACATGTCATTTGGTTCTCCAACTTAATTGTTGGTCTTAACAACTGCACCTTTAACTTAATATCTACTAAAAAAATTGCCGTTAAGTTGGATCATATTGCTATACTCGTGACCTTAATTAACCTTTGAATATTTCAAATTCTGAAATTGCTCTCTTACTCTGTAAAACTACAGTTAAACTTCAGCTATAAAACTACAGTTTCTTCTTGCCACTCATTCATTTAGTTCCAGAGCCTTTAAACATTGTACAAAAAGTGAGGAAATGATGACAACAATCTGCCAAGCAGGAGGTCCAGTGAGGTTGCGCTTGAGGTGGATGGTGATAGTCTGATAGAGAATGCTAGCACAAATCAATTGAAGGAGCATAGGGACAGTTGGTGGTCTACATGTTGTTGAAGGTGTTGTGCTTGCGTAAGGGATGATGATAAAGGTGAGCACTATTCTTCCGTGATGGCGGAGATGCCTTGGTGCATTATGAGGCAATGGATGTGGTAAGTGGTGATGATGGTGAGGGCGTGGACAGAGATGCCAATGGGACGCTTTTCTTATAAACTTGAGGGTGTTTGTGATGACGACTATGGCAGAGGAGTGGTCGGTGTTGGGGGTGCTGAGGGAGACTATCATCCCTAATGGTGGTGATAAACTGGAGGACAACCATGAAAAAAGGGCTGGAGGAGAGGTCAAAAAAGGTGGAGCTTGATTTGCTTCATTGTATTTACGAGGTTTGGAAGAGGCGCTTGTTTGTTTTATCAAGCGGACTGCATAAATAGGTAATGGAAAGAGGCTAGGTGGTACAGGGAGCAGAGTGCCATTGTTAAAAAAGAGCTCTACCATAGCAGATGTGCACACTAGGGTTGATATTCAACCTCACCTCACTTGACATCTGTTCATAATAAAATGATTCAAATAATAATGAATTGATTGTTAATTAATATTTAAAACGAACCATTATTTTCTCACGAAATAATTAGATAATCACATCCATAGTTTCTCACCTTAGCAAAAATTATAACACATGCAATGCAGATAAAACATTATGCAAAAGCAATGTTGAGCCCAATCAAACAAGTTAAAACAGTCATCAACAAAAAACCTTAAAAATCACTGAGCACTTATTTCGAACGAAATAGATTATGGTGCACAAACATTTTGCAAAACCTTGAGACGTCATCATTTGATTGTTCTTAAAAAAAATTGCCTACAGAAACCCACCCCAGATGGAACTTGTCGATCATCTGAAGCTATGATAGGAGTTCATACTTGTTTATTGGGTAACCTGGCCTCTGTCACGAACTTGCTATCTTTATTTTCCTTATGCACAAGAATCGCTTGCTTTTTCATTGGAGACTATGGATTGTGAAGTTTATGGGTGGAGCTCCCGCCATGATATCTTGTAGTTTGTCTCAACTAAGTCCTCCAACTCGCTTTATAAGAGCGTTAATGAATCTGAAGAGTTTTTAATAGATCTATCACAGAAGGACCCCTTAAAGTGCATAATTATCTAGGATCCAGTTGTAGGCTTTTGGAGAACATGGACTAATGTGAAACAAGCTCTTGTCCTCAAGGAGCGGTTGTTAGCATTAGTTTGACTTGACTTGTTATTAGAATTAAAACCATTCACCTCCATACCGGTTTGTTTGTTTGTTTGTTTGATTCAATGTGAACTCTATTATTGATTACTGTTGTTCTCTTATTGCATTTTTTGTTGTTGTTACTGAAAGGAAATGCTAGTCCATCTTTCAAAATGCATTGCATTACCTGTTTTTTCTTGTTCTTTCTTGATCTTTCTCAAGGTATATGATTAGAGTACTTTTGTCCAGGTATTCTCTTTTCTACCAAAAAGCATCCCAGGACTAAAGACTTGCTGGTATTTTCTGACTTCATAATTAAAATCATACTAATTCAATGTTTGTACTTTTAAGCAGTAAATTGGTTTACTATTTTGTTTCAAGTTTGTCTCCACGTTTTAGGCTTGTTGTGACTTCATGCATGTTTAAAGACTGAAAAATTTAAACTTTTTAATGGCGGAAGCTCTAATTGTCAGACTGAAGTATAGAAACGACTGCAGTTAAGGGGGATTGAACATATAATATTCATTCGAACATGTGATTGATCGGACAGTTTTCAAATACGTTGATCTGCAGAAAACTTCTAAACACTTTTTGATTCAAGGGAGGTTCATGTTTCTTGCTTTTCTCATGTCGTAGAGGGTCGTTTGCATGCGTACCTTATCTCTGTTTCTTTTCTTTAGCTTAATTCGTTGGCTTTTTGAGACGAAGTTGCATACAAATGGATCAAATCTGTTTTAATACCAAGTAATGGATTGATCACATTGGAATTATCCCTTCTTACTTTTGGGAGGGGAGAAAGAAAACATAGAACTTCTAGATGGAGATTGGTTTGGTCAAGAGGAGGGTGATTATTAGGAATATATATATATATATATTAGGGTCCTTAATAACAAAGGATTATCACAAGTCCTGGCATAAATATTGACCCATCATTGAAGAATGGCAGTACATAGTTACATGAATTGAATAATAAGATTAACTAGGCATGAATAAACATCTGATGTTTCTGCATAATGAAGGCATGTGCATCAACCCTCCATATAACCTTATTGGTAGGAGCTTCATGCACTGCGCCTTTTTTTTCCTGAACTTTTATGTTATACAAATAGTGCTATCATGATGAGTATTTAAGAAACTTTGTTCGATACTTTATGCGTACGTTCCAGTATCTTTACTGATTGCAATTTTTCAAAATAACTTGTCATTTCATCATCGTCATGAGGTATATCACTTCGATTAAGCCCTTTTCTGCTTATTCACTTCTCACCCTAATTTTGTGAATTGTACTCTTCTTTAGTTTATTCTGTTCACATATAGATGAGAAGTAGAAGCTGACCCCAAATAGTTGGGATAAATGTTAATTATGGTGCTGATGATTCAAATCCCATCATTTTGAATTTTCACGTTCTTAAAATATCTATCACCCATTTTTTGATTTTTTATGACCTGCTTCTTCCCTCGTCTATAGATTAGAAGGTTAAATCACTTTTCAGAACCAGTTTCTTGGTTATTCTTATTAAGTTTCTGGATTGATTGCATGCTTGGACCACTTTAAAAGTTCGTATGACTTCGATATGCTGCTCTATAACTGAATTTCATTGTCTTCTATTGTTTAGGCACGTTATGCTAGTGCATGCGTGATTAACTGTTTTTCCTCTTAATGCTTATGCCTTGCATTCTATTTTCTTTTTATTGTTTTTTTAGCCTGAGGATTTCTGGTTTAGTGCACCAAAGAAAGGAATTATGGTATTTGCTTTACCTGGTGAATCTGGTCTTACGGAAGTGGCTGGGGATTTCAAAATCAATTTCCATGATCGACAAGGAGATTTCTATTGGTACGGCATTTTAATGTCAGTTAATTACTTCATTGCATTCTAAAACTACTCGTCTTATGGCTATTACCAGTACAAGTTTGCTATTAGGCAACAAATGTAACTGTTTTCGGTAAAAAGTTTCTAGGAAAATATCACCAGATAGCTACTATATTTTGCTAGGAAAATATCACTAGTTAGCTACTATATTTGTTGAGATGTTTGATAGAGAAGTATAGAGAGTGTAAGGAGGATCTACTTATGATATTGACTGACTTAGAAAAAAGCAGATGAAAAATTCTAAAAAGTGCTCTGGAGAGTTCTAAAAATATGGAGTTGATAATGCTTATACTCAAGTCATTAAGGATATGCATTACTTGGTGTTCAAACACAAGGTGGTTTGACCATGCATTTTTTTATTTTAGTTGGAAGATATCAAGAATCAAATTTAAGCTCATATATTTTGCTTTATTCATGAATAATCTGACTAGAAATTTTGATGCAACCTAAGTTTCTAAATATTTTATGGAGAATACTTAGGAAAACAATAAGAAAATTCTTCCTTTCAATAAAGCATAAGCATCCACATTTTTGAAAATATAGAAGTAGAAACAAGTTTTAGAAAGTAGCTTACGAAATCCGAAGGGAAAAACACTTGGGAAATTATATATAAGGTTACCCTCAAAACAACCAACAAAAGGTCATCTCACATGCAAAGCTTGAAAAATTAGGTAAGGTGCTTAAAGGTAAGATCTAACCAGATATCCACCACATAAATGATCCGGCACAAGTCCACACTCCTCCATCAGATACCAACAAAGCATGTTAACAAACACAACTAATCTTACAAGAGAAGAAGGATGCATATGGGGCGGGAACCGTGGAGAGAGAAGAAGAGGTAGAAAATCAAGACGAAGTAGTAGAGGGGAAGGGGAAGGAGAATAGCTCGCAAGATAGAAAAACTCACAGGTTCGTATGCAAATACTTCACAAAAACTGTCAAAAAACAGTGAGAAAACAACCCCTATTTATAGGGAAGAAAAGAGGGATAGAGTAATAAATGCGGGTAGGTAAAAATCACATATCCAGCCAATAAAAACTTATCAAAACTGCAGCAAACAGGGACATAATGGACAACTGCCTAGGGGAAAAAACAAAGCATCCACATAGCATAAAGTGGGGAAAAACTGAAGCAACAACACAGCTGCCAAGGAGGGGGAAACCGAAGCACTGATTGGATCCCTGTGTGTGGTGCCAGTTAAGTGAGATTCTTTAGGATCGGCTTGGAAACGGGCACAAATGCACACACTAAACATTATGTCTGGTCTACTGTCAGTCAGGTAAAGAAGGGATCCAATCATTCATCTACACAAGTACTATGGTTAAAACAACAAATTCTTAATCTTGGACTACCTGTTGGAACCATCTCGATCATGTGTGACAACACAAGTGCAATTTGTATCTCTAAGAATCCAATTCAACACTCTCGAACGAAACACATAGACATTAGACATCATTTCATTGGAGATCACGTCGCTAAGGGAGATATAGAATTACATCACATCGCTACAGGAGATCAATTGGCAGACATATTCACAAAACCTTTAGCTTTCGACACCTTTAGCACCTTGAGGACTAGATTAGGTGTCATAGATATAAATGCATAAAAAAAAACAACAAAATAAAAATTTTAGGGCTGCTCCTGATCACCACACACTCACCACACAAAAACTCTGCATTGACTGTTCATCGTACTGTACGACCTACATCGTACTGTACCATACATCTCAATGTCCACCAACAAGCAGATTTCGGCTCTGTTGATTGTACTGTACGACCTACATCGTACTGTACAATATTCTTCCCGCATAATTGCCTACCGTATTGTACGATATCTCTTCTTCGTACGATACGATCCAGTCCGAACGGATTGTGACGATTAAATTCGGCTGGTACGACATTATTTGAGTATCGTATGTACGAATACTCCGTTTCGTACGGTAGATAAACATCAGCACAAAGGAAATTTGAGTTAAAGCTGTTTGGTACGATATTTATTATGTATCGTACTGTCAACACCCCTGTTCGTACAGTACGAAACTTTTGGGCTCAAAAGTCGTACTGGAGGTCTCGGGACGATCGAAATTGCGCTGATCGTACTATACGATACTATCGTACTGTACAATTTGACTGCTTTTTCCGACGACGCTCAGAATATTAATGGATATTAGTAAGTCCCAGATTCGACTGTACGATTTTCGAAATTTCTATAACGCTTGCCTAGGCCGTTTTTTCACTCAAAACCTCTCCTCAATCAGCTCTTCACTTAGTTTTCGTGACCCTATTGCAATGTCTAAAAGAGTCGGATGACTGCTGGATAAGCCTGTCCAGTCGAGTTCGCCAACGTGATCGTTTCTGAATAGTGAATAATGGAGCCTACCACCACGATATTAAAGCTGCAAAATTTCCATTCAAAATGCTTAAATCAGGCTGGCTCTCAATTCGAGTAAGGCTTTTGGCTTCCCCACCTTCCATTCCTACTCACACTAGACGGTTTTCATATAACTTGAACTTCTTCTTTTTGAATTTCTCGCCAAACACTCATCCGTAACCGTAGTCGCTACACCACTTTACTCTTCTAGTTTGTGGCCGCAGCCATTGAGATCACTAGAGCCGACATTGCTCAATATATTGGGTTGTCCACTGAAGGACCTATGGTTCGCTCATTTCTTACTGACGAATTTGATTGGAGCGATGTTAATAGAGTCCTTAGGAATACTGCTTTTCATCAACACCAACCTCTTGTTCAATCCTTAACTCGAAATGCCCGTATAATTCAACATGTTCTTCGAACCTCAATCATACCCAAAGGTGGCGACCGTATCAATCTGACCCCGACCTTATCCGTCGCTACCTATCTTATTATGTCCAACATTAAGTTTGATGAGGTCGATTTAATTAGCAACTATATTCGCCACATGACTTTTGTTCGTCTACCTACCACTCGACGGAAACAGAATCTGGCTCTTGGTCACCTAATAGGATATATCCTCCACAATAAATATCAATTGTCCTACCCTGGTGAACCCGACATTCTTCCTATTTTTTATACGGATGCTTCCTTCCGTATTCTCTTTCATCGGGGACACGAGCCTGAAGACCCAGCCTTTGATGAAGAAGAAGGAGAAGATGCCCCAGCCGCAGCTCCAGCTCGACCACGACGCCATGCCGCACCCCGAGCACCTGCACCAGCACCAGCATACCCTAATGATGATTTAGTCGCACGCTTCGACCAGCTGCAGACTCGTCTCGACATGCATATTCAAGAACAACATCAGCAACACGAGACTGATATGCAATGGTTTGGAGAACGTTTCACTGCAATTGATCACCGCTTTGATGCTCTATTTCAATATTTTCAACCAAATCCACCTCCACCACCAACTGATCAGGACCCGTCTGCGTAGATTGTTTGTGTTTTCATTGTAGTTTTTCTTATTTTGCTTTTTGCTTTTAGTTGCTCCTTTTTGTGCTGTCAAAAGGGGGAGAAGTTTGTTGTACATGTTGTTATGCCTGTTATCTAAATGCATTCTTTTTGTTCTGTACTTGCTTTTGGTATCCAATTTTTTTTCTTGTATTTAATTAAAAATATTGAAATAGAACATTAAAGCGGTGATCAATTGCAGTGAAACGTTCTCCAAAAGATTGCATGTCAAAAAAAGTTGCTAGTGATATTAAAAATATTGTAAATGATGTGTTTGGAGTTTTAAAGGGGAAAAGCTCCTAATAGTAAAAATTATTTGTAGTGGATTCAAAATGTTGCAAGAAAAAAAAAGATGTTTTGTTATAAAAATTGATTTAGAGGTAAAAACTATGACAATTGAGAAATATATAAAGAGGTCCGTAAAGAGTCTAAGAAAATAATATGTGATGGAAAGATTTTAGCTTTTAATGATTTATATAATATATTAGATACTATGGAGGGTGAAAGATATATGCAAAAAATTATAAAACAAAAGATAAAGAGTAGTAAGGATTAGTTTAAGTGAAGTGCATTAAGGATGAAGATCAACAAGTACTTTTATTAGAAGAGGATATTCAACAAAAGGTGGATGAGATATTTTTTCTAAACTTTTCAATGAAGATTGTGAGAATGCAATTGACTTTAGTGACTTTAGCACCTTAAATGAAAATAAAGATTTTTATTTTTATGGGAGTATTAGTAAAATCAAAGTTAGAGAGACTTAAAAAAAAATGAAGTATGGAAAAGTTGTTGGACTTGATGATATCCAATAGAGGTGCCAAAATGCTTAGGAGATGAAGGAATTTCTTGGCTCACTAAACTTTTTAATATTAGTTTGAAGACTAAAAAAATGTCAAATGAGTGGAGAATGAGGGTGTTGATTCCTATTTTTAAAAATAAAAGTGATGAACAAGATTGTGCAAATTATAGAGGAATTAATTTAATGTGTCATACTTTAAAATTATGGGAGAGAGTTATGGAACATAGGTTAATGATGTTAATGTTTCTCAAAATCAATTTGGATTCATGATGTGTATGTCTACTATGCAAGTTAACATTTATTGAGAGGTTTGTTGGAGAAGCATAGGGAGAATAAGGAGGATCTACATATGATATTTATTGATTTAGAGAAAGCATATGATAAAGTTCCAAGAAAATTGCTATGGAGAGTTCTAGAAAAGAAAGGGGTTAATAATGCTTATATTCAAGTCATTAAGGATATGAATGCAGGAGCTGTTACTTGTGTTCAAACACAAGGTGGTTTGAACAAGTATTTTCTTATTTCAGTTGGATTACATCTAGGATCAGTCTTAAGCCCATATTTTTTGCTTTAGTTATGGATGTTCTCACTAGACATTTGCACGCGGTTATACCCTTGTGTATGCTTTATGCTGATGATATTCTTCTTATTGATAAGGCTAGAGAGGGAGTTGAAGGTAAACTTGAATTATGAAAGTTAACCTTAGAGTTTAAAGGTTTTCATTTGAGTAGATTTAAAACTG